ACTCACACCAGGAAGAGGGGCCCGCAGGACTCACACAAGGACGATGGGGCCGAACGACTCACACCACGAGGGGCCCCAACGACTCCCACCAGTCGTCGTCGTCGTCGTCGTCGTCGTCGTCGTCGCCGCCGCCTTCGTCGTCGTCGTCGTCGACGTCGTCGTCGTCGTCGTCGTCGGTTGTGGTCGTCGTCGTCGTCGCGGTCGATATCGTCGTCGTCGTCGGGTGCGTCGTCGTTGTTAGGATCATCGCTGTGGTCGTCGTCTCCGCTAAATCCCTCTTGCCTCCCACCGCTTTCTCTCCCTCCTCCTCCGCCTCGTCCTTCTCCCGCTCCCACCACAAGGAGGATGTACAAGGAGGCGGGAGGAAGGAGGAACAGGGGAGATGTGCGGGGGCAGGCGGAAACACGCCTGAAAAACACGACTGTCGGCATGCTTCGCAAGAGTTGCTGTTTTGCGATGGGCTGGTGGGGATACGCGAAGCGTGAAGAATTTCTAAGCTCCAGAATCAGACATGGTGAGGGGGTCTCAAGCGAAACGCCCGGCCCGCCGTAAAAACTGGCCTCGGGATGCGACAGGGAGACGTTGCTTATAATGATACCAGAGAAAAGCCCCAATCAAAATCTTTTTAAGGCTTTAGGGCTATGGGGCTACAGGGCTACAGGGCCATAGGGCTATAGGGCTATTGGGCTGTAGGGTTATGGGGCTGTAGGGCTATAAGATAGGCTATAAGGCTATAGGGCTATTAGGGCTATAGGGCTACAAAGATACAGAGCTATAGGGCTCTATAGAACTACCGGGCACCTGGGCACCCGGGCATCTGGGCACCCAAGCACCCAGGCACACGGGCACCCGGGCACCCGGGCACCCGGGCACCCCCGGGTACCCGGGCACCCGGGCGTGCGGCGAAAATCGGCGGCAAACCTAGCCTAACCATATGAATCCGCTAGGACCCCTACAGAGGCAAGCTCTGATTGGGGAATAATGAAACATGGAAGAGGAGGAGGGGGAGGAAGAGGCATTACAGGAACTGCAGCCGTCGCGTCGCGAAAATCATATACAGAAAAAAACAAAGAAACAGCGCGCAAGAGCAAGGGGCGCTCGAGTGCGCGGCCACATCGTTCACCTATGACTCAGAGCGGTCGGGCGCGATGACAGCCCCACAAAGTTCCTCCGAGCGGCCATGAACAAATAGCTGAGCGTTCACCCCAGAGCAACGCAAGGCCGCAGGCGAGTCCCTCCGCGCGGCTCACTCAGATAACGACCCCCCTAGGTGCCGACCCAAGCCGCCGCCTGCCCTGTAAGTCGGGACCCTGGAACTCCCTCGGCCGCACAGGCGGGTCACCTGGCGCGAGACTTACTGGAGCCGTGGTTATTGAGTACTACTGGTGTCTAGTGACCAATGTTGCACACTCCATGTGGTGAGATCTATATGATGCAATCTATGTGAGCGACCAATGTAGAAGAATGCGTGTGGTGAATATCTGTGTGAAATAATCAATGTGGAACAATCCATGTGGTGCAATCTGCGTGTTGCAATATGTGCTGTGCGGCCTGTGTGGAGCAACCTGTGTGGTGCAATGCATGTAGGGCAGTCAGTGTGGAGCAATCGATGTGGTGCAGTCTGCGTGGTACAGCCTATGATGTGCAAGATAGGTTGCGCAGTAACTGTTGTGCAATCTGGTCGGTGCAATTTATGTAATCCAATGTATGTGGAGCAATATAGGTGGTGCTCTCTCCGTGATTCTACCTATGTGGCGCAGTGTATGTGGTGCAACCTACGTGCTGCAACTGAAATGATGCAATCGATGTGGAACAATCCATGTGGTAGAATCAGTGCATGCCGGCTATGTTGCGCAATCTATGTTGTGCACTCTGCGGGGTGTAGCCTACGGGGCGCAATTATTTGTTGTTCGCAGTGGATTGTCCACCCCACTGCTCGCGCAAACCCCGCCCGCACACGCGTGTCTAGGTCTGCAAAACTCACGATGGGGCGATTGCGATGACTGCTTGGGGCTAGCTGGTGCGTCGCCGCGGCCGCGCTAGCGCGCGTAGGCTTGCGCGCGCGCAGCGGCCAGCTTGTCTGGGGATGGACGCGGCCGCGATGGCGCAGGCCGCTGGGGGCTCCCCAGCGCGTTTCGCAAGCCGCGCTGACGCGTTAGCACTTAAGTCCGAGTCGGTGAGTCGGGCGGGCGCGGGAGCATGGTGACGTCGATCATGGCGCACGAGATGATATAGTAGCGAGCAGCGGTGCTGGTGACGATGGTGACGATGACGACGACGAAGCCAATGCCGGCACCGATGCTGATCGCGCCGATGACGATGATGGCGTCCGCGTGTCGGCGATGAAGGGTTTTGGGGGATCCCGATGCGCGCGCGCGGCCGACGGGCGCGAGTGGTCCGCGTGGCATTCCTGGATCGGGATCGTGCACCCCCGCTTCCCAGCAAATGCGTAAAGGCGTTCGAATGATTCCGGCCTTCGCGCGCGAGAAGCCCGCTTGGTCGCATGCGATGTCACTAATGAGAAAACAATGGTTTCCGTAAGAAGTCGAAAGGGCGCGCCCACGTAATTTCTAAACCGCAGCGTTGCAAAACCACGCGTTGTTGCGTCGAGCTGTCTTCGGGCACCTCGGTCCTGACATCTTTGCGCAGCCCGAGATGCTTGATGGGTTTGGGCACGCGCGAGCAATGGCGTGTGCGCGTCAACTTCGTCCATGTTTTTGCAAGAGGTTCCTGAACATTGATGGTTTGCGATAAACGGGTGCGCGCGCTGAATGATATTTGGCAGGGGCGATCGGGGGCGCTGGCGCCCTACCTGGGATGGTATGAATTCATTCTTAGAATGAACACAAGGGCAAAACCACATGCAAATTGCACCGCACCGCGCCATGGGCGGGGGTGGTGGGGGGCGCGAAACCCGCGGGGGTTGGTGGGTGGGTGGGTGGGCGGGTGGGTGGTGGGGTGGGGGGCGGGGGGCGCGCGGGCGGGGCGCGATGGGTCATAACTTCTTAGAACGGGGAACTGCCGTGGAGCAATCAGCAAGGAGCAGGCAACGGCCAGGCCCATATGGCGGGCGGTGGCGACGGCGACAACGAGGCCGCCGGACCGCCGCGCAGGCCCAGACGAGGGGCGGCGACGCGGCGGCGACGAGGCGGCGACGGCGACAACATAGCCAGACCCACGCCAAAGCCCAGGCGACAGGGGGCGACGAGGCGCCGACGGGGCGGCGACGGCGACGACATGGCCGCCCAGCCCAGTTCCTGGGAAAGGAACGAAGAACCCCTAAATGCAAGCACTGTTTGAGACATGTGCCAAACAAAGCGCAAACCCTTGCCCCCTTTGGATCCCTGTGCAATGTTGAACGTCGGGCCGATGGGTTCGGTAAAGGCTGCACTTGCCCAGCGGCGCGAGGCGTCGGGCATCGGGGAACTTCGAGATGCGCAACGCTGCGGGCACGAGCAAAAATGCCCTTCCATCGCGTCGTAAAGCCCTTGGGTATCCAGCAAATCACGGCCCCGCTGAGTGCCTGAAGCACAAAGGAGATCTTCCTCACCGGCCTGCATAGGCGCCTCGCGTAAGGCAGCGTTGCCAGAGATGACCGCATCCCATGCGGGCTCGGACTCAGAAGCCAAGACCTGTCGCGCAGTTCGCGAGCGAGGTTCCGTGCTTTTTCAAACGTAGCGGGTAAACCAATCATGCTGTCCCCCGAACATGTCTTTGGCATCGCGCGACCAATCGCCAAGCCCAGCTAAGCCGGCCGCGGTAACACTTCACCGATGGCGCTGCGCAGTAGTGAAGGTACCAACAATTCCGCGTCTGCCTGGCGCTCGGAATCGGCCGGGGACAGGACGTCCACTCCCGCCCCAGCACGGGGGCGCATGGCGAGCCCAGCTTGTCGTGCCCCAGAATCAGCGAGCGTTTCTATGGGGGCCCTGACGAGCGGCCCCCCCGAGCCAAGGAGACAGTTCTAACGGCCCGATTCTCGTCCGAAGGTCCAAGGGCCCAGGGTTCCCGAGACGGTTGAGCGTTGGCATCGGCGACGTCCCGAGGGTGAACTGCTGCCCCCTTGCCGCCAGTAACTTCGTCGGCTGGAAACGGGCCCCGCCCCGTCAATCGGCGCGGCGCCCCCGCCGCCGCCGGCGCGGCCGTCCAGTCGCGGAGCTCGGCGATGGAAGCCCGTGAAACACGGGATCTGCATCTGCCCGCGGTCGTCCTCGCTGAGTGTGTGCATGGCAGAAATGCCATTTGATCGCCGCTGGCAACGTTGACAAAGGAGACTCATCCACGTTCCCCAAACTGGACCCGCCCCTTCCCTGGGCCCCTGGACCAGGGGCCTCGTCTCCGCGGCGCAGACTTGCAATGCCCAGCTGCGACTGCAGATGTCGCGTCCTGTGATTGCGAAGTCAGAAAGGTGCCGCGTGGCACCCCGCTCCAAAAGGCGACCGCGTCCCTGCGCGGTGCTAGCCGCTCCTGGCGTGGATCGCGTAGCTCGGTTATTTTGAACCGGTAACCGCGAGGCCGCGTGGTCGACGCGGGCCCAGTGATTCCGCGGCGCAAGCACGCCGCCTCCAGCGTCGCGCGCGCGGGGCCGATCCCGGGCCCGCGGGCGAGGGATCCAGCCGGGCGGCCGCGGGCGGCGCCGCGGGGGGCGGGGGCGCAACGAACTTCAGCTCTGACCTGGGCCCGCAGCTCGTCTGGGATGCAATCAGCGCTGGCTTCGTTGTTCCCCAAAAACCTTTTCGTCGTTGTTATTTTTTTTTTGGGGGGGGGCTCTTCGAACTCGCCAGTCTGGGTGGTCGACTCGCTGGGGGCGGGCCGCGCGCGGGCGCCCGGCGGGGGAACTGGGCCCCGTTTCACGCGCGAAGCATTCTGAAGCAGCTGAAGGACAGGGGCATCAGGAGGCCAGACAAACGGCCAAGCTTGGGCATCAAACTTTGGCTGATCGTAACTACGTTTGGCAACGTGCGCAGAGACATTGGGGTCGGCTTCGGGTCGGGCGCCCACCCGCGTCAGCGAACGCGCGGTCAGGAGCGGTCGCGTCGTCGGCAGCCCCCTGCAGAGACTCGCGCGCAGCGTTAGATCTGACGCAATCGACTGGCGGAGGGCGAATCCTATCGCGGCAAATCGCCCGCGATGGCGCCGTCTGGGCTAGCAGGGGCGCAACTCATTCCAGTCCCAGAAAGCGGCTCCACCGATCTGGGCCCTGCCCCGGGCCGCGTGCCCGCGCCCGCGTCGGCGCGGCCGCGGGCGGTCGAGCCCTCGACGGCCCACGCGCGGCATTCGCTGGCAGAGTTCCTCCCCAGGGCCGAAGTGAGCGGCGGAAGTGGGCTCGGGTAGGGGGCCCGCGTTGGCGAGAAGGGCGATGCGTCCACGCCATGGCGGTCTGTCAGAGACGCCCGCGAAACTTCGCGCTGCGCTTTTCAAGTGCAAGCTGGGCGCTGTCTTCGCAGCCTTGGCCCGCTGGGACCTCGATCCAGCCGTTGGTTGCCTCTTAGGTGGTGCGACGCGTGGGGGGCGGGCTGGGAGCTGCAACTACTTACTGATGAGTTGGCGGCCTCGCGACCTGGGGGTGAAGTGCAGACTGCAGCGCGCCGTCCGCGTCGCGTCCATGGCGGCCTGGGCGCTGACATAATATTGTGCCACATTAAACTACGAATGACATAACCTGAATCGCACGTGCATTCGGTCGGGGTCTCGGCGACTTCGCCTTCAACGCGAAACGAGACCTGACTCAGCGAGCGCTGTGAATTTGACATTGTAACCGCGTGCCACGTCGCGTGAAGTTGCATCGGGGCAATCAAAGCGCCGAGCCACGATGGCCGCCATCAGTCAGACCGATCGGTATGAACCCGTACAGCGAAACGAAAACAAGTGAATGTCCGACAGCGTGAGCTGTGGCAGCAACGTAACGAAATGTGGCCGACTGGCCGTCAAACTGGCACATTGGCAACTGAAGTTGAGGAGCGAAGGAGCAAATCTGCGCAAAACTGGGTGCACTAATTCGCCCGCCGCCCTCGGTGGCCGTCTCCAGTCCATGGGCTGTGCTGCCCTTGCTTGCGCCGCGCGCTGAGTGGGCGATCGAAAGAATGCGTGCCTGTTGGGCCTTCTTAGACCATATAGCTAGAGTAGTACGAGAAACATGAGGCTCAGCAAGGCACAGAATTCGAAAGCGCTTCTCCTTCTGAGTCCTACGACTGAAATTCCAACCACCTTCTCCCCCATGGCGGTGGCACTGCCAGCCAGGAGCTGTGCATGCTCACTTCTTTCGGGCTTGGGGTGGTTCTCGATATTTCCAATATCTAGTCAACTCGAAGGCGCTTTTGCACTGGCACCACTAGATAACAACTGCTTGTGCTGGTTCGCCACAAATTTGGCTGCTGCCGGGCGTGCCGCCGAAGCCCTGACACGGCCCTTGCGCTCCCCCACGGCAGTGGCCGACTCAGCTGCAGGAGTGCTGGCGGCAAGCGCTGGTGCAGGCTGGGCCGTTGCCTTCTGCGGCTTCGCCGCCGCGCTTTGCCTGCCGTGCCCGCCGAAGGCGCTTCACTTTTCTCGCCGTCCCAAATGCGCTCTTTCGTCGCGATCCTGTCGACGAGTGCCTTCTTCATCTTCTGGGCGTTGGCTAGCATGGCGGTGATCTTGTGCGCCTCGCCGTCGAAACTGAACTGTGCCGCCTGCAATTCGTCACCGATCTTGCGCAGGTGCCCCTTCTCGGCGGCATCGCCTTCGATGTCGTCCAAATTCTCGAAGATGGTTGGTGTTGTCATGCCGCAGCGCGAAAGGCTTTTCGGACTTGTCGCCGTCCTTCGCCGCCGCAACGTCCGACCGAACGACGCCTCCGAGAAACCTCCGGAAACGTACGTACCGGATTTCGACACCGCTGCCTCGAGCTGCTTGCGAATGCGAACGACTGCTTGCACCGCTTGAATGTAACGATTGTTCAAATCACCCCATTCACCGTCAGCACGTCGCAGCGCTTGTAGCACTTCGTGGAGCTTCTGGGACTGCTCCTCCTCTTTTCTGAGCCTGCCAACCTGTTGCAGCACATTGGGCTTGAGCTCGGCATCCGTGACATTGACCAGAGCCTGCTCAGAGGAGGACATGGGTATAACCTGCATCACTAGCCCGTGTGACCGAACCGGGTGGAGAACTTTTGGGAGTCGACCTGGAGTTGTCGCTGCCGTCGCAATCATAAAACCGAGCCTGTTTGAGAATACCCTTGGGCTTGTGCTGATGGGGCTTGACTGTGCGGTTGCATCGGCTGCCAGATCGACCTTTCGCCTCCAACTTATCACTCCACCCTGTGGTTCCGCATCCTGAACACTTGGACCGTGGACGCGATGCCGCCATGATGATGGTTATCTCGTGACCACAGCCTTTGCCATTCCATTCAACTGTATTACACATCTCGGCAAATATGGGGCACTGGGGATCGAGTGTCCCTCAAGTGTCACAGGGGGGACTTGCCGCGGAATCTGGGCTGCTGCGCCAAAATGGTTCGAGCCCACATTGCGCTTGAGAACAGGGGGAATAATGGGTGGAGGAAGGACGGAGGAGGAGGCAGAAAAGAGAGGTTGAGGGAGCGAGGGAGGGAGGGAAGGAAGGAGGAGGCAGGAGAACAGCAAAGAGGGAGGACGAGGGAGGAGGGAGGAAGTAGGCAGGGGAGGGAAGAGGCATGAGGCAGACAAAGGAGAGCCACGAGGAGGGGAGGAGGAGCGCCTGGATCTCCAGCCTGCTCACGCCGCAGCCCGAGGCGCCAGAGTCGTCTGGCCACCGGAGCGACTCGGCCCCGCTGTCCTGCGGGGCCAGGGTTAGGTCGGACATGTCCCCCTACAGGCGGATCTCGGGCGAAAGATTAAAGATACTCTAGACAAATACCCCAGAAGTCAAAAAGGTACTGAAACAAATCGTCCCAAAACAAATTGTTGTACTATTTCTGAATTTTCCTCCTCTAGAGGGACAGGCCCGACTTACGGCCAGGGCCTTGCGCCATGCGCCTGCCCCCCCCCCTCCCCGATCCAGGGGGAGGGGGGGGCGAAGGGGCACGCCAGGGGGGCGATCGGGCCTGTTCCAGATTTTCGATGCTCGAAGCTTTTGCGGACGCTTTCGCCGGCTCCCGACAGCTTTCCATCCTCGGTGCCGGGGCTGCGCCTCGCCGAGATAGGAGGAAAAACAAACGCCATGAACATAAACTTTTGGCGCTCCGCGCGGATTTCTTGGATTCGCGCTGGACTCCCTTCCCTGGCGCGCGGAGTGCGCCAGGTGCGGCGCCAGAGGCGCCGCCAGGGGGGCCCAGGCGCGGATCCAAGAAATCCGCGAGGAGCGCCAAACGTTTCTGTTTATGTGGTTTTTTCTTCTTCGATTCCAACGGCTGCGCCTCGCCGAGAGCGTTCCGGGGGTGCCCGGATCGTCTCGAACAGCCGCCACAGAGCCGCAAGTTATGGCTCGAAAGCCACGGGGGGCGCGACGATAAGGGGCGACCGGGTCAGGGTCGAAGCATCAGCCTGGAATCGGCGACGCGTCGCCGTTGGCTCGGCGGTGGTTCCCCGATAGCAGCGAAGCCGCACGTTCCTGCAGGAACCTGCGCATTCGCCTTGGCGATGAATGTCGGGTGCGCGCAAACATGGATTAGCGATCCATGGATTTGGCGCGCGGTCGCCGAATCCATGGATCGGGGGAGGCGCACTCCCCAAAATGCGGCCGGTGCCGCCTAGTCCGGCGGCGGAAATCCGCGATTCACCATGTAAACGAGACCCGTCGCTAATCCACACTCCCTTGATCCATGTTCGCGATCGCCTGAGAATGGGCGATTGGGGGTTGAAGCAGCCCCCAGAGCCCATCCCCCTCTAACGCCCTAGCGTTTCCCCTGACAGGTGGGGATGCTGGATGCTGGGTTGGCCTACCTCCAAAGAGGAATTCCGGATCCAGGACTCTGGGGCTCTCTCTGGGCTCTGGTGCCGTCAGAAAACGGCTTGGAATGAAACGCCAGTCCTGGGAAAAAAGGTCCAGACCTCTGGGGAACCACGCTGTGAAAAAAACACGACGTCCCGGGTCTGGGGAGGAGAATGAGGAGGTAGATGAGGAGAATGATGATGATGATGATGATGATGATGATGATGATGATGATGATGATGATGAAGATGAAGACGAAGACGAAGATGATGATGATGATGATGATGATGATGATGATGATGATGATGATGATGATGATGATGATGATGATGATGATGATGATGATGATGATGATGATGATGAGGATGAGGATGAGGATGAGGATGAGGAGGAGGAGGAGGAGGAGGAGGGGAGGGGCAGGAGGGGCAGGAGGAGGAGGATGATGAGGAGCGAACATCACGTTGCGGATGCTCTTGGAGAAAGAGGAGGAGGAGGAGGAGGAGGAGGAGGAGGAGGAGGAGGAGGAGGAGGAGGAGGAGGAGGAGGCTATCCGTCTCCTCCCCCCCTCTTCCGAGCAGGACGTGTGATGACGAGGAACACAAGGAACACGAGGCGGACGTGGAGGAGAACGTGGAGGAGGCGAAGCGGCCGTGGGGTGAGCACAACACAAAACACCCATAGGTCACCCAACTGCGTGCACCGCGCCTGGCGATGTGCGGCGCGCGGTGATCTTGGCGCCCTCGCGCCGCCGCCCTCGGAGAGGGAGATCCCAGGCCGCGACGCCCAGAGCGCCCTCGGCTTCGCACCTCCGCGGGTGACCCAAGATGTGCCGATGCCGCCCTCCGCCCCTCGACCTCGCTCGGGGCGCGCTGCAGGACCAGGGCCTCGGGGCGTGTCCGGCCGCGGCGAAGAGGGACGGGCAGCGGCATCGGGCACCTCCTCCTCCTCGGAGGGAGGAGAGGGAGGGGCCCACAAGGGGGGTGGAGGGGTGACGTTAACGCTGGCGACGACGAGGAGGACGACGACGAGGACAGCTACAAGTACGACGACGACGAAGGCTGGAGGAGGGACAAGCAGGAGCAGCAGCGACAGGAGCTCGGGACAGGGAGCGGGAGCGAGAGCGGCAGAAGCAGCAGGAGCGGGGGTCAAAATGATGACGATGCTGGAAGCCCCACCACACCTCTCCCGCGGGGCGCGCTCTGACCATTGGGCATGGCCTACGGGGGGCGATCCATGGGGGAAGAAACGTGCACATCATCATCATCATCATCATCATCATCATCATCATCATCATCATCATCATCATCATCATCATCATCATCATCATCATCATCATCATCATCATCATCATATCATTATCATTATCATTATCATCATTATCATCATCATTCTCATCATCATTATCATCATCAGCAGCAGCATCATAATCCTCATCCTCATCCTCATCCTCCTCCTCGTCATCATTATCATCATCATCATCACCATCATCATCAGCATCACCCTCATCGTTTTAATCATCATCATCATCACCATCACCATAAGCACCCTTTTCCTCCTCCTCCTCATCATCACCCTCATTCTTATCGTCATCCTCATCATCATCACCCTCATCATAATACTCCTCCTCCTCCTGATGATCATCATCATCATCACCCTCATTCTCATCATCATCATCATAATCCTCATCATCCTCATCATCCTCATCCGCTTCCTCATCCTCATCGTCCTCATCATCCTCATCATCCTTATCCTCTTCGTCCTCCTCCTCATCCTGATCCTCATCATCCTCATTCTCCTTTCCCTCCTCCTCCTCCTCCTAGTGTCAATCCTCACCATCATCATCATCAGCACCATCATCATCATCATCATCATCATCATCATCATTCTTCCCTCCTCATTTTCATCCTCATTCTCATCCTCCTCCTCCTCATCGTCATCAGCATCATCAGAAACGTCCTCATCCTCATCCTTATCCTCATCAGCATCATCCTCCTCCTCATCATCACCATCACCCTCATTACCATCACCAGTCATTCTCATCATCATCATGATCTCATCCGCATCCTCATCCTCATCCTCATCATCCTCATCCTCTTCATCCTCATCCTCATCATCCTCATCATCCTCGTCCTCTTCCTCCTCCTTCTCATCCTCCTCATCCTCACCCTCCTCCTCCTTATCCTCATCCTCGTTCTCCTTTTCCTCCTTCTCTTCATCATCATCATCATCATCATCATCACCCTCATAATTATAATCATCATCATCATACTGATCCTCATCCTCCCTCTGATCATCATCATCCTCATCAACCTCATTATCATCCTTCCTTTTTGTACCCTCATCATAACCAGCATCACCATCGTCATCATCATCATCATCCTCACCCTCATCCCCGTCCCAAAGCCCATCCTTATCATCACCCTTATCCTCCTCATCCGCATCATCCTCATCATCCTCATCACTTTCATCTTCGTCATCCTCATCCTCATCATCCTCCTCCTCGTCATCCTCCTCATCATCATCCTCATCAGCATCGTCATCGTCATCATCATCACCAGCATCCGCATCAGCATCATCAGCATCATCAGCATCACCATCATCATTTTCATCATGCTCCTCCTCCTCCTCATCATCTTTCTTTCGGGCGCCTCATGTCAAGTACTATGAAAGGCCTGCAATCACGAAGCACAGCTAAAACACGATGCACGGCTACATCAACCGAGCACGTTTGGCAAGGTTGGAGGGGCAAACGAGTTCGGTGAGATAAGCGACGCAATCGCCTAAAGCGACGGTCTCGGCAATGAAAAACGACACAGGTGAATCGAAACACACCCCTCGGAAGTCGACCGGGAAAGTATGTTGGCATCCGTCCCTGGGAGTCGCGACGCGTGTCGCCGTCTGAATGGCATATGACATTGGCATCGTCTGGTGAAAGCTGCGGCATTGCAGGCGGCACTTCCTTGAGCCAGCTTCTGCCGCACTCCATGGTAGAATTGACAAGGACATTTGCAATTTTGTTATATTCGCGCCGGTGCCACAAAACTGGCTCGTTTATGTCTGCGGCTGGGGACCAGCCAGAATCTACCAGGTGGAACGCACTGTTTGTAAAGCGCTCGAAGCTGGGAGCAAACCCGCGTCGCTGAGAGGGGCGTGGCCGCAAGCTACGGCAGCTAAAGGCTTGCAGTCCACAGCGCAAACAAAGCAGCCGCGCCTACGTTCGAAGACAATTGCGGGCGGGTTCTCTCCGTGAGCCGTCGGACAGTTGTTGAAATCATAGTTGTCCCTCTTGTGGCGCTTGGCACGCCAGCCCTGAGAAGCCTCGCTCATCTCCACCTCCAGCGTCGCGGCGGCTTGAAGCTGCCAGTGCGTGCACATGCTGTCCAAGAACTTCGGGAATAGTCTGCGCCATCCGGGCAGGCCGTCATGCGTGTCCCGCGCGGTCCTCCACGCGGTGCCGAAAGCGAGGCAGAAAACATCTTCCCATTCACATCTGTGGCCCATACCGGCATGCACGATATCATCTGCTCTGCGGCGTCGTTCGCTGAACGTTTGCGCCGTCTCCCGAAGTGCTCTGCCCCTGAAGCCGCGCGCAATCTGGAGAAGGTTAGCGCCACTGGGAGACTGGAAACATCGCTCTCTCCAGGCGTTTTCCAACACGTATTTGAGAAACTTATGGTGTAGAGGTGCCTGGCCGTCCTCATTGAACCACCGCTTGATCATCTGGGAAGTCCGGGCATTAAACAGCATTCGATTCTCATCCAGCCTGCGCTTCAATTTCAAACCTTTGCGCAAAAGGCGAAGCTCCCATCTCCGAGCACGCGTCGCGACGTGTTTGGTGAAATGCCACGTGCCGCTGCTGAACAACGCGGAAGACACAGGTGCAGACCAAGCAAATAATTTGTCGCCCATGGACGCCCTGCCAGAGAAGAGTTTCCAATGCTTCCAAAAGCAAGGCTCCCCCTTGCCCAGCCGGTGCTCCGTGCTGATGTCCGCCTCACCCTTGTAGTCGAACAGCGTCCCGAGGAGCATGATTGCCTGAGTATGTGGGAACATCGCGCCATCCGCCAATGCCACTGGCGGCGGTGTGTCCCTGGCGGCGAATAGCGAGCCACAGAGCATGTATTCCAAGGACGAGTGGTCCCACGAGAATCCTGTGCTTGGGATGGCCCGGGCTAGGTCCGACACCGTGCAACCGAACTGATCGCGTGAAGCGGCGAATCAGATGATGTTGTCGGCCCGAGCCAAAGTGGTAAGAAACTGAGGTGGCCCTCCAAGAGGATCTGCGTAGTCAAACCCAATGCCGCGCTGCGTCCAACTGGATGCCACGGGCACCGTCACGTACTCCACCATGCAGTTAAACTCGCCGGGAGTTTCAGCGCCTCCCTGTTCCCCCCCGCGCTCCCATGGAAATTCGTCAGAAACCCCGGCACCAGGCAACTGAATGCGACAAATCACTCCGGATACTTCCCGCATCAAGGCCGCCACCAAGCCTGGATGTAGCTCGCGCCCCATCATCGACAACCGCATGTGCTTGTGGTCCATAGCGTCGAAAGCGGTCGCAATGTCCCAGGTGCCCGAGGTTAGCAAACGACCCCGACAGTGCGCGAGGAAAGGTCTGCCTCACGACCGCAGCGACATTGTCGCACCTGTAGCCAGGGCGGAAACCGAAAATTTCAAATGAAGTTCGGGGCAAGGGTTGCCGGAGAGGTGGTAATAAACAGTGTGTATACTATTTGAAGCAACGTTCAACCTTGCCGATCCATCGGGAAACGTCGAGCGACGCGGCTCGGGTTTCCTTCGGGATCCCAGTGAACTCAACTGTCTTCCAACTTTGAGGAGCTACAGAACAGATTCAGGCGTGCCGGTTGCGAACATGACGCCAAAAGTCAAGAAGGAGCACGTGCGGCACTTCCTCGTAGATTTCAGGCGGTGCTCCATCGATGCCTGCTGCCGTCTCTCTCCTTAATCGTGCCCTCGAGTTCAAGACAGAAAATGCCTCAGCTCCGCAGGGTAGATCCCGTCTAATCAAGGCCCCGAGGCAGCGCCCATCAAGCAGCTGATGCGCAACGTTGCTGCACTGTCTGCGCGTTGCGAGGGCCTCCACAACGACGACGTCCGAAGCGCCGCGCTTCATTCCTCCATTCTTCCCGGTCTGTCGAAGCCTTGCTGTCGACGTGAAGAACACGGGGCAGTGGCGGCCCAGAGCCTCCACGACATAAATCGGCAATGCGGGCGTGGTTGGCCTTCAGTCTTTCCCGTCTTCAGGCGACGTCTGCTTCCCGTCTCCTGTCTGGGGTTGCTTTGGCAACGGCCTTCCGGGCTGCGTTGACGGGCTGGTTCCTGGGCGCCCTCTCCTCTCCCGATGACGTCCACTGCTAGGGAAATCGCGCACCCTGGGACACGCAACTCACCCGCAACAGGGCGATGATCGGATTTGGAAAACAAGCGATGACTGATAGTATGTGCGCACGCCGTGCCACAAATGCCGCAAGAGACCATGATGAAATCAATTTGCGCCCTGGTCGATCTCCTCCCCTTTGCCAGCCGGGTCCATCGTCTAGCGACTGCAATGCTGTCCTCCTCGTCCCCTTCCCCTGCGCAAGCGATAGACGGCGCTTCGTCTCCACCTCTATCCCTCCTCATCCCCTCCAGCATCTCCTCGAATGTGGTCAGAGCTCCGAGGCCCAAAGCTTCCATCCAAGAGACCACGACATGGGTTTTGCGAGCCGTATGGGGACGACGAGGCCGTATAGTAGCGTCGCCAGAGACCCCCTCCGAAGTTCGCTGGCAAACTGGTGTTGGCATCAACCGCTAAGATCAGGTCGAAGACTAAAGAGGAGTGCGAGGACCTCACCTTCTGCGCGTAATTAATCGTACCCTGGAAGACGGTGTCCGCACGGCCACCCTCGGCAAGGTGGTCTAAAATATGGGCCGACAGGAAAATGCAACCACCCAGTACCGCCCCACACCAGAAGTCGCCAAAGGTAGTATCTCTTATAGCCAGCATCCAACGTCTAGGAATAACGAAGCCGCAATCACAACCTTCTTTGGCAACGACGGCATGGCCAGAGTACGTGTGATGATTCTTTTCTCCCCACTTGGTATCTCCTGGAACAAACCTACAAACTCCACAAAATTAGCCCGAGGTCGGCGGCAGATCCGGCCAACAGCGGCTCTTCCTGCAAGTGTTCCAAGATACTGCGTTGAATTTCTTAGCCCCCTGATTCCCCTCAGGACGCTCTCGATCGCGCCAGCCAGCGAACTCGGCAGCGACTGCGGCAGTCGTGATCGCGCCGCCGAAAGCCGCCTGCAGCCCCTCCAATTGCCACCTGATGGACGCGTCCTCGATCACTGAGCACACCACTGCCTCGCCCTGCTGGCCCTTGACGGTCAAGGTACACTCCGGGCTCCACGATCAGCGCGCCTCGCCGGGCAGCCCGCGGCGAACCGCTAGGTGTCCTCTGGCGTACGCTCGGCTGTAGTGTAGAGGATGTCATCGTTGAACTTCAGGTCTGGGTCCGTGGCAAGCTTGTCCTTGAAGACAAGGGCGACTTCCACGGCAACCGGAGGCTTTTCGTAGACGCGAACCTTGTGCGCATTAGGCCCGAAGATCTCCAACTCGCCGATCTTGTCGAGCAGGGTCGGCGGGGGCCCAGCCTTCAGCTTCTCCAGAAGAGTCTCGGCCTTCGGTCGGTCGATGCCCTTCGACCGGCGTTCGGCGTAAGGGCAGAAGTTTTTGATCTCGATGAAGGTGGGGGCGAACTTCTGAGACTGCCCTCCCAATTGGGACTCAAGATCGGACAAGCGCTTGCCATGATCAGTCACGGTCTCCTCCAGCTTATCGACCTTTTTCATCACAGGGGCCAATTTGGTGTCGACCAGGGCCGACATCGCCTCCGCGGTAACCTGGGTCATCGCGGATGCACGAGTTGAGTTGAGACACCACTCCTTGGACTGAAAAGCGGGCTTGAGCCAAAACCGCTCCTCATCATCATCATCATCATCATCATCATCATCATCATCATCATCATCATCATCATCATCATCATCATCATCATCATCGTCATCATCATCATCATCATCATCATCATCATCATCATCATCATCATCCTCATCACCTCATTCTCATCATCACCATCATCATCCTCACCCTCAGCCGCATCCTCCTCCTCATCGTACTCATCATCCTCATCCTAATGATCCTCATCAGCCCCATCCTTTTCCTCCTCCTCCTCCTCCTCCTCATCGTCATTCTCCTCCTCCTCCTCCTCCTCCTAGTCCTCATCCTCATCCTCATCACCGTCCGCATCCTCCTCCTCCTCCTCCTCCTCCTCCTCCTCATCATCATCATCATCATCATCATACTCACCCTCATCATCATCCTCCTCCTCCCGCTCCTGATCTTCATCCTCATCCTCCTCCGCATCCGCACCCTCATCATCCTCATCATCCTCACCATCTTCATCATCAGCATCCTCATCATCACCCTCATCCTTATCATCCTCATCGTCCTCGTCCTCTTCCTCCTCCTCCTCCACATTCTCATCCTACTCATTCTCTTCCTCTTCCTCCTCCACCTTATTCTCATCCTCATCTTCTTCCTCATTCCCACTATCCTCCTCCTCCTCCTCCTCCTCCTCCTTCTCATCATCATCATCATCATCATCATCATCATCATCACCATCACCATCATCATCCTCATCATCACCCTCATCATCATCACCATCATCACTCTCACCATCATCATAACCCTCCTCCTCCTCCTCCTCATCATCATCTCAATCATTATCCTGATCCTCATTCTTCTTCTCCTCGTCTTACTCCTCATCTTCCTCCTCCTCCTCCTTATCCTCATTCTTCTCCTGCTCATCACCATCACCATCATCATCATCCTCATGATCGTCATCCTCATACTCATCCCCATCCCAATCCCCATCCCCATCCTTATCATCGTCCTTCTCCTCCTCATCCGCATCATCCTCGTCATCCTCATAATTTTCATCCTCATTATCATCCTCCTCCTCCTCCTCATCATCATCTTCATCATTATCGTCGTCCTGATCATCATCATCATCATCATCATCATCATCATCATCATCATCATCATCATCATCATCATCATCATCATCATCACCAACATCACCCTCAACATCACCATCATCATCATCATCATCAACATCATCACCAGCCTAAGTATCATCATCATCATCACCATCATCATCATCCTCATCCTCATCTTCATCCCCATCCTCCTCCTTCTCGTCCTCATCATCACCCTCATCCTCATCCTCCTTCACCTCCTCCTCCTCATGATCATCCTCATCCTCCTCCTCATCATCATCACCATCCTCCTCCTCCTCCTCATCCTCATCATCATCCTCATCCTCCTCCTCCTCCTCCTCCTCCTCCTCATCCTCATCCCCATCCTCATCCTCATCCTCATCCTCATCGCCATCCCCATCCCCGTCCTCCTCCTTATCCTCCTCCTCCTCCTCCTCCTCCTCCACCTCAATCATCATCGTCGTCGTCATCCTCATCGGCCTCCTTTATGGCGCAGTGCCCTGGCCGGCCCCGGGCGTCCGGCTCCCACGTGGAGGGCGTGCCCAGCCAGCGCGCGGGCGCGGCGCAGCCGCCGCCGCCGCCCGGTGCCCCGGCATCCACGCAGCACCCCTGGCGCAGCCACCTGCAAATAGAGGAAAGCAAAACCACATACACATAAACTTTTGGCGCGCCGCGCGGAGTTCTCGGATTCGCGCTGGACCCCCCTCCCTGGCGCGCGGAGCGCGCCAGGGGCGGCGCCGGAGGCGCCGCCGCTGGGGCCCAGGCGCGGATCCAAGAAGTCCGCGCGGAGCGCCAAACGTTCACGTTTATGGCGTTTTGTCTTCGTCGATTCGAAGCAGCCCAGGGACGCACGAACAAGTGGGCACTACTCCCTACAGCTTCCCATACTTCCTCTTCCCATGTTTCCCCACATGTTCCATCGGGAGCGGCCAAGAGGGGGGTGTCCAAGAGGCGGGGGGTGCAAATCATGACCAGCGGCATGTGCGCGGCCCAGCGGGGGGGCCAGGGACGTAATGGAATACGAAGAGGCGCCGTGAAATCTGAGGAAATATCATGGCCCCCGCCATGGTATCCCCCCCCAGTCATCACCCCCCTCTGTGCCGCCCCCGATTCCAGGGAACCGACGATTGATATTGTGTTTTTTTTGTGCTTCTCCCCTCCCGACACCTGAAGTCCGGCGGGCTCCCCGGCCGCCGGGCGCGCCGGAGGCGGTCCTCGGAGGATCTGGTCGGAGATGGTGCCTAACCCCGCAGGGCCCCTACAGGGGGATTTTGGACGAAAAATAAAAAATACTCCCCAAAATGCTAAACAGATAGGAAAAATTCCCCAGAAGCAGTCCCCAGAATATTTTTTTGACTATCTTTGAATTTTCCCCCTGTAGAGGGACAGGCCCGACTTAAGCCTAACCCCCCAGAGCCCCTTGCGTTTGGAGCAAAACCACGACGGGAAAACTTTCGCTATTTTCGGCCCCTGGGGGTCCTTACCCAGACTCGGGGCCGTCAAAAGACGACTCAGGATGGTCCAGACCTCTGGGGGTCAAGGTGGTAAAATTCGCCGGCCCAACGGGCCAGAGGCGTGCTAAGATCTCCGGTAACTGGTTCACAGTATTTTTAATTGGCGAGCGCAGGGCGGCTCCTGGGGGTCCCCGGACGAAAAGTACCCCGGCAAGGTCCTGGGAGAAGCCCCCAGAGCGCTCCAGGAGCGCACCAACAGGGTCCCGAGACGTCCCCGAGAGTCCCAAGAACTGCCAAGAGAAAGTCCCAAGAAGAGCCAAGAGCGCCCAAGAGGCTCCCAAGATGGTACACCAAGGGTCCGAGATACCACAAGATCGCTCCAAGACGTCGAGGCACCATGTAATACCTGCCGTGCGCCATGTTGCAAACCCTGCTGGTCCGTATCTCGGAACTCCAGTACCACTGAGGCAAGTGAAGTAAATCAGTATAGTAAGGAAGGTGGGCGATGTGCTGCAATCGATCAGAAGTGCTGGCCTACGAAAGTTGTACCGAGGGATATTTAGTGTGTGCTTGCCCTCCCCCAGCGCCGCAATCATGATACGGATGGCCGAGACCGCAATTGTCACCGTGAGCCCTGTGTACGCCCGACTGAGAAGCCAAACGGGGTACGCTGCCTCGACTGAGCGAGCGCCGACGAAGAAACAATAGGGGCTAAATTCGAGTCGGGAAAGGGAATGTGGTGGTCCAGCCCTGCAGAACCGGCGCTTAGGAGGAGGATGAGGAGGAGGAGGAGGACGGGCAGGAGGAGGAGGAGAAGGAGGAAAAGGAGGAGGAGGAGGAGGAGGGATGGTAGGAAGGACGAGGAGGAGGGATGGTAGGAGGGATGATGATGAGGAGGAGGAGGAGGATGAGGAGGAGGAGAGGGAGGCAGAAGGATGGTAGGAAGGACTAGGAGGAGGGATGGTAGGAGGGAGGAGGAACAGGAGGAGGAGGAGGAGGAGGAGGAGGAGGAGGAGGAGGAAGAGGGGGAGGAACACTGTAAACCCAAGACTCACCAACTATGGTAAACAAAAACACACACACACCAAACTCCCTTTTCATAGGCCCCTGCAGGGAGGGATCCATTTCCACTGAAGGAAATGTTCCGTTGGGAAACAACCGCTTGAAAATCCTGAAGCGTGCCAAACAGTATTCTCAGAAATTCAACGCCACGAAGCACCTTGACTGTTGCGTATTGACGATCCTGTATCGTGCCAGAACGCCTTTTCTGGGACTTCAGCACCGCGGGTCGACGTAACTGTTGCGCCCTGACAGTCGTGAATTGCGCCAAAGCACCGTAAGCCGTACGTTAACCATGAGAATCCGTGAAACTCTTGCAAATGTCTAAAATCAGTGTGCGCGGCGCTAAGGCGAGAGCCACATTTTGGAAACGACCCACCATCCATCCGTGAAGCTCTTACATGTTCCAAATAATGTGCGCGGCGCCAGAGCGAAAACCATATTTTGAAAACGACTTGCCCTCAAACCGCAAAACTCCGGCAATATTGTAGAAATAATGTGCGCGGCGCTACGGCGATAACCCCATGGCGAGAACCCCATGCTCAAAACGACCTGCCCTCAATCTGCAAAGCTGTTGCCAGTGTTTAAGCTTCGGGGTCTTAATTGGAGAGAATTCTCAAGCGAAGCGCCTGGCCCACCCTTCCGACCGGCTTCGGGGTGCGACAGGGGGAGTTAATGATAAGGCAAAGGAATCGTAAAGGAGGAGGAGGAAGAGGAGGAGGAGGAGGAGGAGGAGGAGGA